CAATGTATTGTGTTTGCACGAGTAAAGCGGATATTAATTTGTATGCAAATTACTGAAATTGTACATTAGTTTGTAATTAGATGCTAATGGATGCAATGTTCATTTAACGTGAAATTGTCTATATATTATAATAACAAAACAACGATACAAATATGTATATTTCATAAGATTTTCACAATTTTTTGTCTCTCCCTCTCTCTCTCTATCCCCCCCCCCTCTCCGTAATCAAATCCTGAACAAAACGAAAGGAATTCTTCGATTTGATTAGGTTAGCTAACCGTTCGTTTATAAGACCAAAATCTTTGTATAAAACATATCGTCATTACATATTTTCGTCTCTCTGTATCTTTTGACAAAAAAGAGACAACCATATGTCTTAAACCCATGATTAGTTAGATCGATAAGGCCCTTAAACATTTTAGTTTGAACAACTTCAACTTTATCCTTTATATGTATTTATTCCAGGAACCTCAACAAATGAAGCCTTGGCTGGGTGTATGGGATGCCACCAAACCACTCGCAGATTGTTTGCACTACGATCCTTTTGGAAAAAAAGTTACAGGTATGAATTTATCTTAAGCTCATCGTTTGGTATCCTTGGAAGATCCTGTAAGGTATAAGATGCATTAAATCTTCAAAATATCTTAGAGGAAAAATGGATGATTTTACTCAATGACGAGATGAAAATGCTTCTCCACGTTGTCAGAAAAAAGGCTAAAGTACACTCCTGTGTTTTAATAAAAAAAATGTCATCGTTTTTTCTTGATTATATTATAAACGTGACTGTGACAGAGTTTTAATCCTTAATAGCTATTAGCTTTGTAATTAAAGTGCGCCTTAAAGATGACATTGTCTCTAAAACGTGAAGTGCTCCCCATTGACGTCACTACGAAAACGAGTGATTGTGGAACGTTGGTGTCACGTGACTTTCTTTAAAATAATCATTATTCAATATAAAAAAAACTCATTATAATTGGAAAACATTCTTTATGAATTACATATTTTGTTTATCAAGAAGAGAGCGTACCTCTTTCTGAATGACACCATCTCTCTGGTGTTGCGGATGCTCACGAACGCCGATGTTTAATTTGTTATTCCCGCTACTTTTTTTATCCTTGTTTTTTTTTAAATATAAAAAAGGAAGGCCATATACACAAACAAGAAAGTAATGAGAAGGGCAGGGGTTAGACAAAGTGTATTCGATAGGTCACGTGATTGTCGCACGTCAGTTTCGTACATATTTGAAGTTCGCTATGGAATCGCTTCAAAGCGAATGCGTTTTGACTAACCCCTCAGACTATGTTCATAATTGCAGGTAGCGAGAACTGTCTGTACTTGAACGTGCACACTCCGAAGCCGAACGCCGCTGCGCTTTTGCCGGTACTGGTTTTCATCCACGGCGGGGCGTTCATGTACGGCACGGGCGGACTCTACGACGCGTCACATTTCATGGACCGGGACATGGTCGTAGTTACACTTAACTACAGATTGGGGCCATTAGGTCAGTTAGACAAACTTATTTGACCTGGTCATACTAACGCTGTTATCGCGGTTATAAAATGACAGAAAATGACACACAAGGCACATATCTTTTTATTATATGTCATTTTCTGTCACAAACAGGACACCGACAATGATATTTTTTGACTATAGGGGGCGCTTATGCGCTAGTATACTTTGGTTCTCTTTTTTCTACAGAATCAAATTTTGTTATATAAACTGTAAATCTTAAATAAAACATGTAAGTCAAGAAAAAAGCTAATTTTGTTAATGAAAATCTAATCTATATATATAAAAATCAATTACTGTTCGTTAGTCTCGCTAAAACTCGAGAATGGCTGAACGAATTCATCTTATTGGTCTTGAAATATTCGTGGAGGTAAGGTAAAAATTCGAATATTTGCCGGGAAATAATTAAGTTTTTTTTTAGACCACGCGGACGGAGTTGCGGGCGACAGCTAGTCTTAAATACTTTTATTCTAGGATTCCTGAGCACGGGTGACGATGTGATACCTGGCAATGCCGGTTTGAAGGACCAGTCGTTTGCGTTGCAGTGGGTGAAGAGTAACATCATGATGTTTGGTGGTAACCCTGATAGTGTCACGTTGACGGGATGCT